GGCTGGTTGTCCTGACGATCGAAAATCCACGAGTGGTTTTGCTGTTTTCTTGGGGAGTAATCTTATATCATGGGTTTGCAAGAAACAGAGAACTGTTGCCAGGTCATCCACTGAGGCTGAATACAAAGCTCTTGCAGATGTTTGTGCTGAGGTTCTATGGATTATGTCATTATTGCGTGAGATACAGATTCCGGGTATTTCCATTCCAAAATTATGGTGTGATAATCTAGGAGCTACATATATGAGTGCCAATCCAATCTTTCATGCCCGCACCAAGCATGTGGAGATTGATTATCATTTTGTTCGTGATCGAGTAGCTTCGGGCGATATCCAAGTCAACTTCATCTCCACAAATGATCAACTTGCTGATATCTTCACCAAAGCTCTGCCTGGACCTAGATTTTCTTCCTTAAGGGACAAGCTACAGGTTACTAGTATACACTGTGTTTGAGGGGGAGTATTAGGACTCTATGTATATGAGTCTGTTTAGAACTTCTTATCCTTGTCACACTGTGACTCTCTACTTCTTATCATTGTCACACTGTGACTCTCTATTCTATATATTCACATCATCTGATCTCATTGTAATTAAGTTCAGAAAATATAATACAATCAGTTCTCATCATCTCGTTATAAAAGTTCACAAAATAACACTAGCTATAAATACAAGTATTAAATTACTCAATTATAAATAAATTTCAAAATTATAAATAAATCTCACAAATCAAAATTTTTATTTAATAGTGTTGAGGCATTATAAAGTTCAAAAAATAGAACTTTTTATAAATACAAGTGTTACATTATTCAATTATAAATAGATTACAAATTTAAAAATAAATCTCACAAATTGAATTTTTGTTTAATTGAGTGTTGGTGAAAATATATATAAAAATTGCAGCAAATGGATCTCGACCCTATAACCCTTGCTATAAGTTTACTGTTTACATAAGGCGCATGCATTCTCCAATCAAACAACTCCATCCTTGGTTAAAGTATATGCATTTTATTTACTTATAACTATATTTATATACTATATATATAGGGTGTAGTAGAGTAGGCCCCCTCCAAGCATGGGCCCTGGGCAAGGGCCCAGCCTGCCCTTGCCCAGGGCCGGCCCTATATATATATATATATATATATATATATATATATATGTATATTTTTTAAGTTACGTTCCAAAGCAACATGTTATTAGAGTTTAATCTTTTGAAGCAACATACAACATCGAAAAAGTAAATTTAATTTATTTTTCTAACATTCTCTATATTATATAATATTTCACGATATAATATACTCCGTAGTATAGTGTAGAGTGACATTTTTTAGATGGCAGAATTAGACTTGGATTTTTCAACGGCCAAACAAACTTTGATGGCTTGATCGACAGCAGTGTTCACTTTCTTTTTAGCAGGATCTTTGACTACACCACTGCAGTCACTAATACTAGTTGATGCCGCTGTGAGTTTGACATTCAAGCTACCGTCCTTGTCCCCACTTTTAGCTAACTTCATGCACTCCTTCAATCTGCCACATTCATCAAATCAAATCCAACAAATTATATATTATTAATCAAATTAAACAACCTATCAAAATCCAACTCTCTTTCTATCAAGGTGAAACGCTTATCACTACGCCAAAAGTTATAGCTTGTAGCCAAGACAAAATAAAACTTTATTTCGCCATCATCACATTCAAGAGCCAGGATGCTGGACTTAGTTCTATAACATACACCTGGTCGGTGTTGCACCCATTACTTGGGAGGGTCCTAGTTTGATCATCACCGACCTAATATGCTCAATTTCTCGACCTAAATCCAGACCGATCATCACTGACCTAATATGCTCAATTTCTCGACCTAAATCCAGACCGAGTTAAGCACCAGACGATCAGACTTGAGAGTTGTATAAGTCTCTTTGCCCCGAGCTAAGAGCTACCGATTTAATCCCCTTAACTGAACAGGGTAGCGGCGTACCCAATGAACTCAGGAATCTAAGAACACGTGAGCGAAGAGTCACTTTGGGACCCGATCTGGACCCGTGCATGGGACCTACATGTCACACATGTCAGGAGGGAGGGAATACTTACTTGTCGTCCGCAGATTTGTAAAAGTCTTTGCACTGGGGGTCTCCCGACTTAGTAGCCGTGGCTAGTTGAGTGGTGGCCGCGGTTATTGCATCATCCCAAGTTTTGGCTCCCTTCACTGTTTTCTCGCAGAGAGGTTTGTCTATGGCGGTGGCGCAAAAGCCTTGTTTGGGGGCCGGGGGAGCAGCATGAAGAAGGGTGGTCAAGGTTAGAGAGGCCACAGACAATAATGCCACAATAATAATGTATCTCTTGAAACATACCATTTTAAATTCAGTTGTGGGTTTCCTCCTCAGCTCAAAGAGAGTTGCAATGAAAGATGTATATATAATTATAATATAATTATATACACACACAAAATACAATAAAAAATGCACTCAATCTACATGCTGCTATGCCGTTTGGGGTGTGCCATTATTTCCTCATATCATCTTTTATGCATGGGGGTTGGTATACAAAGGATGCACTCAACATGTTATTCGGTTGCGGCAATTATAAATTGATTTCCAATACATATACAGTGGTGGACCCAGGATTTTTCTTCGGTGGGGGCGAAGAAGCAAAGGGAAAATAAATTCAAAAATGTTCAAATACAAATAAGATAATTAAAATACAAAATACATTATAAATTACAATACAAGGTTTATGATGAACTACGAGATAATATTCCACTACGCTCTCTTATATTTTGAAATCGTTGTAGAACTGCTTCCTTTGAAACTAGATCAAAAATATCTTATTCAACATACGACACTAACCAATCATTTAATAAAGAATAAATACCAGCCAAGGTCCCTCGAGTTTAGTGGTTCCGCCATCAATGGTCCTAAACTTTCATTTTGACCTTCCATCACCCTCCTAGTTTTAAAATTGACCTCCTATAGTCCTTCCGTTATGTTTGTCCGTCTCAAGCGTTAAATCCCAGGGCAAAATAGTCTTTTTCTTTAAATTAGTCTTTTTCTTTAATTCCCCCCTAAATACCCAAACCCATACCGATCGTATAGAATTCCCTCCCAAAAAAAATCATCACTTACTAACCCTAATCGATTTCACTCCCAAAATCGAGCCCTAATCCATTCACTAACTGACGAGGCAAAATTGCTAGGAAATGGGTTCTAGAGAGCAGCACAGTTTAGGTATGTTTTCCTCCCTACGATTGTATTTACTTACGTGTTTGTAGTAGTTTGAATGTATTGGTATGATTGATGTGCGGAAATGACTAGGTTTAGAAAAAATGTGAGTATGCTTCTCTCCGTTCTTGTAAATGTGAATATATATGTGTAGGATTGTCTGTGTTGGAATGGGGACAATATTTATTTGGAGTGGAGTATTTTTTTTTTTTACTAAATTTGACTAAGCTGAGTTCTTTATTTTGTGTATGCTGAGAAAATGCCAACTGTATGGTATACTTTATGGTTCAAAGCAGTACTAAGCTCTTTATTGTTGGCATTATACCATGGTTCAAAGCAGTACTTTATGGTTCAAAGCAGTATACCATACAGTTGGCATTAAAAACCAACCATTACTACTTCTTTATTGTATTTCAAAGCAGTAATGGTTGGTTTTTAATGTAAAGTGCAGTTGTATTGGCTTTTTACTGTGTTGGTTTTAGGTTTAGGGGACCACTAAATATGTTTGTGTATATTCTGTGTATGCTAAGAATATATATGTTGTTTGTTTATTTCCAGATTGAATTGAATAAATAAAGTGTATGGGGACCACTTGTGTTGGGGTTGGGGAACCAGTACTTTAATAATTAACACTTTGCTGTCATTTTAATTCCTTTACAGATAATGGTGGGTTTAATCTTACTTTAAGGCATGGTGGCAGAATAAGTAAAACAAAGGCTTCCTATGTTGGGGGGAAGATGAGTTCTTTCCAGAATATGGATCTAAATGAGTGGGGATTATTTACACTAAGGGATAAAGTGAAGGAGCTAGGGTATGAAAATGTTGAAGAATTGAAGATGTTTGTCAATAGGTGTAATGAATTGATAGAGTTATTGAAAGATATTGAAGTTTGGGATCTACTGAAAGAAATTGAGCTGCATAAGAGGATTGGGATTTGGGTTGTGAGTTGTGAGTTAAATACATGTGAAGGTGAAACTGATGGAGTAGATGAGTCAGGAAGTGACTGTGATGGTGACTCTGATGAAGGTGGATGGGAATCTGATGGGGACTCTAATGCAGATGACATAGAGTTTGACATAAATGTTGATCCAACAGCAGAGTTTCCTGGGATTGAAAAACAAAATCCAGATTTAACATTGCAAAGTGATGGAAATATAGAAATCAATTTCTCAGATGAGGGTAGTGAGAAAGATAGTGATATTGAAGAACAACAAGAGTATAAACTTCCAAATTTCAGAGGGCAAACTGAGATGGCAACACCAAAATTCGGCCTTGGGCTAACCTTTGGTTCCAAGGAAGAATTTAAAGAGGCAGTTTATAACTATGCAATGTGTAATGGGAGGGAATTACTTTATGTGAAAAATGATAAGGTAAGATGCATTGTTGAGTGCAATGAAGTGGGATGCCCTTTTAGAATTAATCTTAGGAAACAAGCAACGGATTGGAGGATAACAACCATGTGTGATAAGCATGAGGGCTGCTGTTGGAGTAATGTGAACTATATGGCTAATTCCACAACTGTTGGTAAAAGATGGAAGATTGAAGTGGCATCACATGCTACTTGGACAGCCTCTGAATTTCTGAAAAAGGTGTCAAGTAAAGATGGAATAACAATATCTAAGAGGCAAGCCTATAGGGCACTTAAGAAAGCTAGGGCTGCCCTTTATGGTGAGGAAGAAAAGTGTTTCAATAAATTGTGGGGTTATTGCTTGGAGATTGAAAGGACTAATCCAGGTAACACTTACGATGTCAAATTGAGTGGTCTGAAGTATGATGCGAAGGAAATGTTTGTGAGGTTTTACATGTGTTGGAAAGCATGTAAAGAAGGATATAAGTACTGCAGGCCTATAATTGGGGTGGATGGGTGTCATTTAAAGGGACTACATGGTGGGCAGTTGCTGTTAGCCATTGGTGTAGATGGGAATGACAGTGTGTTTCCCCTAGCTTATGCAGTGGAAGAAACTGATGCATAGGTTGTCTGAATGTAGAAAACAAGCAATGAAATGGACTGAACCTATATGTCCTAGGATTGTTAAAAAAAATAGATGCTATTGAAAAAGCAGCTAGGGGTTATACAGTCATTCAAAGTGATGACAACTTTTTTGAGACACGAGAGGTAATGCATAGGTTATTTGAGCAACATGAGGTTGATTTGGGTAGAATGACTTGCACTTGTAGGGGTTGGGAGTTGAGTGGTATACCATGTAGACATGCCATAAGTGCAATATGGATGAAACATGGTAATGGTCCAGTTTATGATTATGTACATCCTTGTTACTTTGTTGACACGTACTTGAAGTCATATGGGGGTAGTATAAGGTCCATGGCAGGTCCTAATGAGTGACCTGAGAGTGATAAAGAGCCCCCTCTCCCACCACTCTACACTGCCAAACCAGGTAGACCCAAAAAGTTACGTTGAGAAAGAAAGGAGGTGATGAGGTTGCCAAAGTGGGCAAAGTTCTGAAAAGAAAGGAGGTGAGAAACAGTGGAGGTGAGGGCAAATCCAAAGTTGAGACACACCTTAACAGAGCTCATGTGAAGATGCACTGCACCAAATGCAAGAAAGAAAGTCACAATATAATAAAAGGAAGTGCCCTGAAGATCCTACTGTTAGGGAGAGGATGGTAATCTTTTTTAGTAATCTAATTCATTTTGTGTTGGTAGTTAACTGTATTGGTATTATGCTTATGCTTATTGTGTGATCTTTCTTATACAGGACAATCCAAAGAAAAGAGTGAGGGTGAAGACAACGAAAGGTCCACTTGGTGCCTCCTCTTCTACTGGCCCATCTTCAACTAATCTAATGGCACTGCCATTGCCAGCAGATCCAATGCTACAACCACTGCCAACAGATCCAATACCACAACCACGACCAACAGATCCAGAACAAGAAGATGATGATACTTGGTTGGCTAATATTGACCTTGATGCAGTTGTGTCACAACATCAAGTATCTACACAAGTCACTTATGATGAAATTGCTATTACAAGCCAGCCACCAACAGTAGAAGACACTCATGGTCAAGTGAGCAACTCTCTAACAAAACACTTGGCTAAGAAGAAGAAGGAAGTCATAATTCGGCGTAGAAGATATAACACACGTAACACATCTAAAACAAAGTTCCAAAATACCAGTGATGATCCAATTTACTTTGACTAAGGCATATGAATGGCTATGTATGACAGTATCATTTTGGTTTAGTCTTGGTAGTATAGTTAGTATCTCTAAGAGTGGTAGACAATGTTTTTTGGTTAAGTCTTGGTCAAATGTTTTTTTTTTTTTTTTTTTTTTTTTTTTTTGTAACTGCCAGCAACTCAACTTCATTGGCTATGTATTATATGTGTTTTTGGCTAAGTATTAAGGCAGTTTGAAAGCCAATTTTCCTTCAACCTGTTTTTGTAAACTTACATTTGTCAAGTTCACTTCAAATTACATTTGCAAATGTTTTTTTGCAACTGCCAACAGGTCAACTTCATTGGCTATGTATTATATGAGTTTTTGGCTAAGTATTAAGGCTATTTGGCAGCCAATTTCCCTTCAATATGTAAATGTAAACTTACATTTTCCAAGTTCACTTCAAATAACATTTACCAAGTTCACTTCAAATTTGTCAAAGTTTGGAAGCCAATTTCCCTTCAAATCTGTGATGAGTTTGCCAACTATATTAGCCAGTTAGGACCATACTGTCTGGGACCATAAAATTAACCAACCAACAATGGAAACAAATAGAAAGTAAACAAATTTTCAAGGAAATCCACACTACATAGGATCAAACTAGAAAGTCACAGTACATACAATAACTTCCCGACTGAATCTGGGAGCATTCTAACAATTCCAACATTATAACATTTGTCTGGGAGCATTCTAACCATTCATACTGAATTTGTAAACACATGAAATACAAAAAAAATTGCAATCACAATTGCAAACACAATTACACCATTGATTTTGCAACATGTCTTTCCCTTTGACTTCTCTTCTTTTTCCTTAGCAATGGCGTTTAACATGGCCTTTAATCTCTCCATTTCTTCTCTGTCTCTATTTATCCTCTTCAACAGGCCCGGTATTATACAAATTACCCTTGGACACATTGGAGGATCTGCCCATTCAAAAAAATCACATCCCTTCCTTCCCTAAAATCCAAAAAACAAATAATTGCAATTGAACGAACAAAAAATAAATAATATAAACAAAATACTCACCGAGGATTAAGAACAATGAAAAAACCTCCTTCTCGGATTGTGATCCGTCCAAGATGTTCGAATTACAAGCTCATTCCAACATTCACACTCTCGAATTTCTACGGATCCCCCAACATTATATCTTCTCCTCGTACAACTTGAACTAGATGACATTTTCTTATCAAGCAATGGAAATCTGATGAAAAGGGAGGAAGAAATTAGAGGAAGAAATGGGAGAAAGAATTAGCTCGACAGAGGGGAAGGGAAATATATTAGGGTTAGTAAGGGATGGGATGGGAGGGATGGGTTTCTTAATAATATGCTCGACAGAGTGTATTTTAGGGGTAAACAAAGAAAAAGACTACTTTTCCCTGGGATTTAATGCTTGAGACGGACAAACATAACGGAAGGACTATAGGAGGTCAATTTTAAAACTAGGAGGGTGACGGAAGGTCAAAATGAAAGTTTAGGACCATTGATGGCGGAACCACTAAACTCGAGGGACCTTGGCTGGTATTTACTCTTTAATAAATTATCGCTCATCCAGTTGCGTAAAAGTGTCTTGATTAACTTCAAAGCAGAAAATGCTCTTTCCACACTAGTAGTTGCAACCGGTAGAATCAAAGACAACTTTAGAAGCAAATGCACCAACGTATAGTCCAAATATCTTCCCGTTTCCACCAAATTTCCAACAAACAAATAACATATTAACATATAATTCATTATTCATGACAAATGCCTAACATAACATATAATTCCTCATTTCCTCACAGAATTATGTTGAATGAGTAACAGCCAAGAGGCAACATAATTCAATTAATTCCAAGCTAAAGGCCTAACAGCTAAATGCCTAAATGTCAGGTTCAACATAATTCCACATTATGCTAATTTCCAAGCAGCCAACAAAATGCCTAATTTGCCTATTTTGCCTCAGAGAGTCACATAATTATGTTGAATGAGTAAATGCCTATTTTTCCTAACACAACACTATCAACACTGTAAATTAAACCACATAATTCCTATTAAAGCCTAAACCAATAAGGAAATACACCATAGCTAACTCTGCAATTCGCCAATTCAACAAAGAAAATTAGGGCAAAATTAGGTGAATTGAACCTAGGCAGTGAGCAGACGAAAATTAAGCAAATTAAGCAAACAAATTGAAGTATTGAACAAAGGGTGAGAAGTTTGAGAATTGAGAAGACGAGTTGAACCTGGTAGTTGCGATTTGCGAAGCAACGGTGTGGGCCGTGTGGCAGGAAGGAGAAGAATCCAACGAGTGGTGGGCGGTGCCACAGTTGCGCTAGAGGTGGCGTCGTGGCGAGAAAGGCGAGGTCGCGTAGAGAATATATATATATATATATATATATATATATATATATATATATATATATATATATATATATATATATATATATATATATATATATATATATATATATATATACGACGTCGTTTTGGGGCTGTAAACTTTTGGGCAGTGGGGGTAGCGCACTGCCCCCATGGCAGGTCCGCCTCTGTACGTATATTTAAAATATCATAATAAGTAAGGGACAACCCAACCAAATAAGGTTTTAAGGTTTCAAGTTTGACTCTTACAGTGACACCAACATTGAGTAGGTAGGGGTGGACCGCAGACCCTATTGAATTTCCTTTGATCATCTTTCATTGAGTAGAAGTAATGAATAAGTTTAGTGTGAGATTGTAGTATAATACCTTTTAGTTAAAATGTAATATTTTGTATGAGCTGGTAGAAAAATCTTACTTAGTACATTTTAACTAAAAAATTACTCCACTACATTCAATCTTTTGTATAACATTTTCTTGTGATTTTTTCTTCTTGGGGAAATACTTTTTGCTTCATGTAGTAAGAAATTAAACAAGGTGAATTAAATGAACACTTTTGCATTTGCCAAGTGATGGATGTAACGTTTATCCGTTACTATTATTATAACATTAGGATAAGTTATGATAATATTCAGTATTTGATATGTGGTGCAACACAAATAACCTAATAGCTAGACTACCATTATGATTAGGAGTCTAGTTAGGGTTTAGGAGACCTAAAGACAATCAACCACAATGATGGCCAGTGGTTATATAAGGTCACTAGTCCTCTCACTGCTCACGATACATACCTCATACACCATCTAGAGAGAGCTGAGTAAAGTGAGAGACAAAATACTCGTTATCTCTGCAGCAGTCCGGATCGCTCAACCGTATCAGAAACTATGGCTGGAGGTTAGTCGATCTTGTAATCACATATTATATGATGCATGTGATATTTTAGTCTAACAGTTGGTATCAGTAGCCATAAATAATCTCTGCCTAGTTTTTTTTAATTGCTTAAGTATTTGCATATTTTATATACTTTGTTATATAATTGAGATTATGTGAATATTCTTTCGTATGCAATTATATTGTCTGGGCGGCTGGAAATTAAGTTTTTATTCCGCATTAAGAAACAAAAGAAAAAAAATTAATTAATTGGATAAATTTTTTATTGGAATCTGCTTCACCGTTTTTTTTCAATCCGATCGCCAGATTATGTGCTTGCCGGCGACCATTGTTGGCGGAGACGACGGAAATTCATAAACAAATTTTTTTTTTTGGGTTCGTCGTCATCCCTTTAGTTTCCGTCAACCATGGAGCTACTTTTGCCGGTGATGAAGACGGAGCAACGGCGACGCAGAGGAGTGTTCAGCCGGTCGGTACGCAATGTGGCAGGCGGCGTATGGACGACAGCGGTGTTAGCGTTGCATCGAGTCCATGCGGTGGCGGCGGCGCTGGGACTCCCGGCTACGCTGTTGCTATGTGGTCTCCTTCTGGTGACCTATGCACTGCTGCTGGTCTATGGCTGCTGTTCATTGCTGTTGATGCGCCCTGGTCCTTGCTGTTGCTGCACCACTTCTAGTCGCTATTGCTACGTTAGCAGATTAGTGAAGAAGATGATGATGATATGTTAATGGGCTGGGTCTGGCCCAATTTGGGCTAGACCTGGCCTCATTAAGGAAAAAATAATAATAATTAAAGAGAAAATTGTAATTTATGCCCCTCCATAATAGGCCAATTATTAATGTCACCCCTGAATTATTAGTGGTGTAAATATTGCCCCTCAATTATCAAAACAGTATATATATATTGCCCCCCCCCCCCCCCCCCTAACGGACATGTAGTTAGCCGTTATATTCCACCATTAAGTAAGGTTAAATAGGTAATTTACTTATTTTTTCCTATTTTCTACTTTCCCTTTCCCCCTTCCCCTTTCCCCTTTCCATTTTGTTCGCCGTTGCGGTTGGAGGACTTGGAGGAGAGACGACACCAGAAACTCAACTCAAACTTCTCTTACCTCATCCATAGCTTCCAACAAAACAACCATCAAAAACCATCTTCACATTCATCAAACAATCATCTTAAATTCATGTCTCCTCCAACCCCACCCTAACCAGCCAATACCCTTGGTGGTCTTGTCCAAGTTCTCCGTCTTCGGCGCTTGCGGCAATATCGGTAGGGTCAAATACATTCTCCTATCTACCCGTCACCCACAACTCAATTTCCAAACGTTCTCATCCATCATGGGCTTATCGCCGGAAAATTTCTGGTAATTTCATGAATTCAATCAACAAGAGTTTTTCGGCCGACATTTTTTTCACCGTTCTTGTACTGGTATTTTATTTTCTGGGTTTGATTTTTATAGCACTGCTGTGAATGAATATGTGACGGCAGTCTAAGAGAATGGCCTGCGAGATTCTTGAATTATTAGCGAATGTGTTGACGATTCACCATCAGAATGTGTTTAGTAAATTGCTAATGGATGAACAAAGCAACTCTGTTTTTTGGATGAACCACAACCCGCCCTGCCTGGAGCTCGTGAAAAACCTGATTGGGTTCGGAGAGCACACCGACCCTCAAATTATCTCCGTTCTGAGATCCAACAACACCTCCGACCTTCAAATCGCGTTGAACAAATGCAGCTGGATGTCGGTTCCCCCGACCAACACTCCTTCTTCATCAACGTCAGAGATTCTCTTCAGGACCGTCGTTTCCGTCGTTTTCTGTTGCCGGTGAAAATTGAGGGCCGGGTGTTGTTGGCAAGGAAACAGATTAGAGTTTCCCGCAGGTGTACCAAAGACTACAGGTGTTAGAACCAAAATCAAGAACACTAGCTTTGAGAACTCCATTTGTTGTTTGATGATTGTGTTTGAGTTTTTTGGATTTGAAGAAGGAGAAAGAAACGAGTTCTGGGGTTGGTTAGAATGAAAAGGAAAGAGAAAGAGGATAAACAAGATCGAAAAGGAAGAGGATGGGAAAATTTTAAAAAATAAAAGTTAAATATGAAAGTATCTATTTACCCTTACTTAACGGTGCAATATAACGGCTAACCATATGTCCGTTAGGGGAGGTGCAATATATATACCGTTTTGATAATTGAGGGGCAACATTTACACCATTAATAATTTAGGGGTAACATTGATAATTGGCCTATTATAGAGGGGCATAAATTACAATTTTCCCATAATTAAATCTGGGCCTGTTATGGTTTTGGGCCAAATCTGAATTGATATTTGGACTACATCAATTCATTCAGTTTAATATCATCATCATATTTGGACTTCTTCTAATCAAATTATCCAATTGAATTTTTTTTTACTAAGTCTATTATTAAATTATTATTCAACTTTGAATAATTATTCATTTTTAATTTTTCAGTTGAATTTTAATTTAATAATGTTTCAGATTAAATTGTATTAAGTGTTGCAATTTAATTGTGGAGTATTTTGTGAGTAATATGCATAATCTGAGCATGCTATGTATCTCTTTATTGCAATAATTATTTGACTGTTATAATTATATGCCTAGAAAAGCATGTTCATTAAGGATAAATTTAGAGCCTTTAGGTCTGAATTATATGCTTTGCATGATTTAGTACCTTTAAGTGAATTAGTGCCTTTCAGGTTAGATTATGCATATTATTACTTACTCTTCAGTTATTACTCCACTCGTGTTTTATAAAGTTCCTAAAGCACATAAAGTACATAAACAATTTGTAGTTTACCCTATTCAAAGCCTTATCCATAGGTGAAACTACTCTTTAGATCTCTCAAACGATTTTACTTCAAAAATGAGAACACAGGAATTAGGGAAGTTTCTTGGGGAGGAATACTAGTTCTATGGCCCTGGCTTAAAAGCCTTGTTGCTACTAGTCCCCTTGCGACGCTACTCTGTCTAAGGAGTTGGTTTTTAACCGAGCTTCGTCTCGACCAACTTTCCTGGGAGTATACCTAAGGATTGTCTATCATATTTTGGTTTAATCTGTTTGTTTATTAGGTTTTCTTGCTAATGTGATTATGTTCTTTGGTTAATTAAAGAGTAGCCACAACATCTTTAATTTTTCCAAAATTACATATTAAGTTTTACTCACATAAAGTTAATGCAAGAATATTGTAATTCACTCTGCGTGATATGGCAAAATTTAGCCCACAGGCAATTTTGTTATATTTGTAGGGTTAATTAGGATGAAATACCATACTATGATCATAATTTGCCCACAGAGATTATGTATCGGTGGTGAGCTGTCGTAGGATCCCAAATTAAAACCTTACAAACGTAGTAGCGGGAGTAAGGATCGATCCCACGAGGAGTAACTAGTTTAACTTTTGTGCTCAAGGAAATAATCGGGGGTTTGGAAAATAACGAGAATAAAGATTAAGTAAAAGATAATTTAAATAAACAAGAGATTAAATAAATCGAATAAAGCAATGAAACTAATATATTGAAAGCACTTATAATAGAAATCCTTGGTTAGTAAAGATCCACCACCGGAATTTAACACTGATCATTGATTAGTAAAGTAATTGATATGCAATTGAATATTTGTCGTGAAATTATTTCATTTCCGTTTTCCCTTAGTTGTAGGTAACTAAAGCACACACGGTTTAATTACCCCTAACTACTAAATAACCTAAGACAAGCGCTATAGATTTAATTTAATAGCAGCAATAGGAACTAGGAAAACCGACAAACAAAATAACACAAGCACAAGCGGTTGCATTTAATTTAGGAAAATATTCTACCCGAGTCCAATTATCACTAAGCCGTCAATAATTAACCCAGTTGCTACTGAATATTAGAATAATTCGTAGCACAACATTATCTAATATAGCAAATAATTATATCAAGTAAATAACTAGTAGGCCTCCCTAGCAATTAAATGATACAACTATTCAAATAACTTAGAAGAATATTTAATACCCAAATGCATAAAAATTATATAATAAAAATAAATAAGTAATCTTACAGCATAATCAATTCCGGGGCTTCAATTCACTAAACCAAGCAAAAGAAATTAGCAATGAATGGACATTGATAACAGCTTTACAGAATAATCGAGAGGGGAAGAATGAACGATTTTACAATAGAAAATTCCTACTATTTATAGCATTCTAAAAATAGGCTCAATGAACCTCAACCATCCATTTTCCTACTCTTCAGCCTCACGTCCGAAGTCATCCACTTTGTCTGCTGCCTTAATCGCATGATGGAATTGAAACATTCAATTTGCTTTTGCTGGACCAAACTAATCTAACATTAATATATATATATATATATATATATATATATATATA